GATTTCTGTAGCTAGACTTGAGGTTTCCTGACTTAAATGAATTTTGTAGTACTCCTTTTTTGTTGCACATGAATTTTGGATCATTGGATGGAGAAAGAGGGCAACAGAGAGAGAGAGACAGTAGATGATGTAGGCTCTAGTCTAGTGTCCCTTTTGAGTTTCATCTGCCTCAACTTCTGGCGAAATATTGGACCAAAATTTCATTCCATCTCCTTTTGTTTAATTTTCGTTACAATTTCTGGTTTACTGGAGTTTCATTCAACCAGTTAAACTACTTCCAACTTACAATATCATGTTTATTTACTCAACAGCTAAGCTCTTGTTATCAATTTTAACATTCAAAGCCAGGGCTCTAGCTCTACTCACATTTTAATGGAAATCATATATATATATATATATATATATATATATATATATATATATTGATGATATATAAATGTACAATTATGTAGATACGTCCAATAAATATACATTGGCCTACACCATTTAACTACTGGTTTAGACAGGGAACTCACAGTGTCTGTACAAGTTTGGGTGATTGATAAATTGGTTCATGTCAGTGTAAAGAAGTATTGATGTTGATTGTGGGGGGGGGGGGGGGGGTTCTTTCTTTTCCAACAAGAAGAAAACCCTGTTCTTGTAGTTTCATTTGCCATAACCAATCTGGCACTTGCTGTTATTTCCAGCTTGCAGTTCTGTAGATACATGCAATTTTGCAAGAATATGTCCTAACTAAACCTGCTGTTATTTTCAGTAGCCAGTCAAGTACGAGCTGCATATATGTACAGTTTTTCTGTTTTCTTACTCAGAAAAAAAAAATATTGACCCTGGCTTCTATTTTGTGCTAATTAAGATAGCAATTATAACATGTCTAGACTTCACGATAGAACCCTATTTTTTTTTTGGTTTCCTATGGCAGGATATTCTAAGAAAAAGAAGAGATCAAATTCCTTAAGACTAGTTTGCAAAATTCCTTGTACATTTAACCAGTAATCAAAATACATGAATAGGATTAGATTAAAAGAAAAAAAAGACTAAGTTGAGGACACTTTCCATTTGTAACTCTTTCACAATAAAGGGATCATTATCTAAGTCAAACCCTTGTAGTATATCTCTGTCCTTGTCCAAATTAACAGACAATGAAAAGAAATGGACAAAAATGAAAATGAAAGCCAAAAAAAGGTTCCAATTTCTTGATTTTCGGTTGTCTAAAAGGCATGAATTTCAGTGAAGATGGAACAGATGAATCTGGTGGTGGTGAAATTCATCCCTCAAGATCAATTAACGTAATACAGAGAATGTTAGAAGCAGCACCATGGGATTTTACATCGTTTTCTGCTACGTATATCTTCGCACAGAATTCAATTCCACCACAACCCGCCCCTTGGTCCTCGAGAAAGAGGCTCACATATTATATGTAAGACTTAAGGTCAGTCCTTGGACGTGCCTACTTTTATGCACACCATGTGATAATCCATAATTCAGACTCTATTCACTTTCCCCCAAAATTCTTAAAGAAAAATCATGCCTCAACTTAACCAACACACTAGACTTGAATTGTACTCGCAATATTTTATTTAATTCGTTTCCCCCAATTTGGCATTTAAACTCTTACTTCAATGATAAATATATGAATTGACGGTAATGATTGTAAACATTTTGTTATTTGTAATTGATTTTTGCCTAATACGTTTCCAAACACATGAAGAGCAAAGGTATAAATAGAGATGACGTATAAATACAACTGGGTAATTATGCAAGATCGCTTCTTTTTTCATAATCAATACAAGTTTGAACACTGAACTCCATTTAATATGTAAATCGTCTTCTATTAATTCTTTCCTCAAATGCACGAAAGGTATTCATTTTTCTAGATTATATGTTTTGTGAAAATTTATGGCCCCTATATGATCACAAAATTAGATCTATATTGTAATTTAATATGCATAGATGGTTGGATAGACACAGATTATACGCATTATGCATATGTATATATACCAATTCACTACAATACAAGAATCAGAAATGTGTGTGTTGTGTGTAGGAAGAGAAAGAGGGATAATTAAGACTTCAATTTGTACTATTAATTTGTACATATGTGCGATCCTAGGCGTTGGTGATCCATAGACTGCACGTAGAATCTTAATAGATGGATGCCAATATGTGATCTGATTCTCTTTAACTCTGATCACTAGATGAAATTTGAGAATCTTTAAACTAAAAAAATTTCTGAAAAAAAAATAAAATTATATACCAGCATGTCTACTGCAGCTACAAGATGCCCTCAATGCGTCTTTGATTAATCTTCTGTACTCCTTTGTCATGCAAAGTAATAAATATTTCATTAAACAAATTTAGGTACTCAGTAGAAGCTGCAAAAAACTGTGGCAGGCAGGTGAATGAAGTATTAATCTGTGTTTGCAGCAGCTATTTTAGCAGTGTTCACATGCTTCCTTTTTTACTTTTTTTTTTTTTTTTGGTCCCCCTCATGTAAGCAAGTTTTAGTGCTTGTTTTTAGCTAAATTTCCATCTTTATTCTTCTCTTTCATATACGTAGGCACATGCATGAATCTTTGATAGCAAACTGTAAGAAAAGGACCAAAGTTTGCAAGGGCCAGAAATTGGTGTAATTTTTATAAAACAACTACACTTGAAAAAAAAAATTAATATCTGTGACCTTTCTTAACAAGTACCTATTAAACACCTGTTCGCCAAACCCTTATTTATTTTATGAATAAGGATAATAAGTTGATAACTATCTGAGCTTTTTGTTCTTCCTTTTTTTTTTTTTTTTTTTTTGGGTGCTAACTGCTGAGTGTTTGGCTTTGTTTTTGAGGCAAAAGGCCTTCCACCGGCCAAAATACAAGATCACAACGATGCCATTGCATGCACGTGTGTAGCGCAATCCATGGGAGACATTGTGAGCACTCTTCTCTCACAAAATTGTAGCAAATGCTGCTTATTCAAGAATCATTACAATTGATTACTTAGAAACATATATGAATTCAAGAGCCCTTTATGCCTTGTAGAAGTATATGCTCTATCTTCAACGCTACTCCAATGAAATAGATAAAAAGTACCACTTAGTGCACTGAAAGTGCCTGAGAAATTATAAAAATTGTGTAACAAGAAGATGGCTGTATACATCCCAAAAATATTTTATTGTGAAGTGGTTATATGGGCTCCCATGCATGAGGATATTTCCACGTTCACTTGTATGGTGTCTGTCTCCTCTTTTACGTTTGATTCTGCTAATTACAGTAATTTACATGGTGACTATGGCTCCAAGCATGGATTCTCAAGTGATAATTAAAGACACTTAGACTTTATTTAATGTTTCTGAGGATTTTTATTTTCTCTCTTAGAATCTCATCACTGGCAATGTCTCTTGTGACTTAGATCTAAAACAGCTTATTAGTAGTTTAATATTCTACAGTAAGAAAAACACAAAGATAATTCCTAATTTTGAACTCCCAAATTCAAGCCCTTGATAAACTGCAACAAGAACATAGAATCCACTGTGAAAAATAAGAACTTTAATTATGAGACTTGAAACCCTTCAAGACTTCAATTTGATTAACGTTTATTGACTATCAAATCTAAAATCGTACTTCATCTTCACATAAGAAGATTTACCCTTTTTTTTCTTTCTTTTAAAGCAAATTTTTTTCAGCTTGATAAGAAGACTGGAAGGAGGAGGGGTTCATTAATAATAGCTGGGACAAGTGATAGGAAATGTACCATGAATGATTGATAGAAGCTAGGGCAAGTTATAATCAAGAAATTAAGAAGATAATGAAAGATGTAATGAAAGATGTGAAGCTTTTTATTATTTTCCGAGGAGCAAAAATGTCAAGAGTTATCCTTGGAAAATCGGCCATTTGGAGCAATCAATTTGAACTAAGAACAAAGCTCGTATTGAGCCAACTCAGGGTCAGCTTGAAAGTGAGACTACACCATGCTTTGACCGCATTTATTTCAAGCTGTTCAGTGGATTAATGAACAAAACTGCTGTCAGATAAATTCTCTGAATCCAAGCCCTAATTGCCTTCTTAACAATCTAAACTCCCAAGTATTTGAACTTGACTGAGGGTTCATTTGTATCCAAACTCAACCAAAAAGTTGTGTCAAACTTCAACTTGTAATCCAAACTTATTTGGTGATTGATGGACCATTGAAACTCAAATGAAAGAGCAAACATGAATGATGCGATGCATAAACTTGTCTGTCGAGCAGGAAATTTCGTACACAATATCCCAATGGTAACAGGAAGAGGTACATCTTTATGCCTTATGCCAGTCCATTTAGATACCCTGAGCAAAAGAATTGGTAAAATACTAAAATTGAACTCTTTCAAGAAGTTCCCTCTAGACCCTAAGAATTCTTCACTGCAGCAAACAAGACTGTAGCTGCGCATGGATGATTGTACAAGCTAGAAAGGAACTATAAAATACGGACTGTAACATGACATGAGTGGGAGAAAGAGGGAGAGGCCGACATGGAAATGTATTGATATATCAAGGGAGACAAGGCTGCAGGGGCCAAGGATCCCTTTCGAAGGGGCAGGAGACACATTAACGATATGCATCATCAACCTTCACACTTCCTCACGTGACATGCACGTTCCCCACACAATCCTACTTAAATATAGGCAAAATCCATTTAAGTACTTGGCTTATTCTTGGAGTTGGTAGGCTGGCCTCATGTGGTGGAAAGTGGAAACACTTGGTAAAAATTTGACATTGCTAATCCTCCAATATGGAAGGACTCAAATGCATCGGTTGCGGCAATGCATATGAGCTCTCTGCTAAATATTGAGACAAGCAGAAATTTTTTTTTATCATTACTCATTTGCAAGCTGAAGACAGGGAGCAACTGCCCAAAGAAAAAAAAATCCAACAGAAAAGTTCAGATTGCTTGAGGGTCATTCTTTTTAAGGGAATGGAATAGGAAAGGCAGAATCAATGGTCTGTAAGTAACAAGCAGCAAGAACATTAACATGTGCTAACCCAATTTGTGCATTTTCGAGTTCTGCCAATGTAATCTGATCATCACTACATTGTTTTCAAAATAAATTTCAAGTTAAAAAAGGCAAATCGCTTGAGAATGTTCAGAAATAATCTGCCATAATCTATAAGTTACACCAACGTATGTATTATACAAAATTGTTTCAAAGAAACTGAAGTTAGAGATGAATGAGTATTCTTCCCAAGAAGTCATCACTTTGATGGTGCAAATCAGTCCTCCACCTTCAACATTTGTCTCTTATCGGGGAACGCAGAGACCCAATTCTGGAGATAAGGAGAAAATATGTAAGCAGACAGTGAGCCAATAAAATGAGGAACAACTTCTATTTCTCAAAGAAAAATCCAGCAATGCTTGCCTCCACAAACTTTTGCAAAATCAGTCGACTTGAAAACAAATGTAGATAAGAAGAACAGCAATTTAACATGTTTAATCATGAAAATAGTATTCCTGCTGGTAGACACCATAAAAAAAACTAGGCAGTATGGATGCTACTATCCCATAGCACATAAATGGACAGGCAGCTAGGGATGCAATTGCCTATCAGTGAATTGATTGCAATCCCAAACATGTATTGACATGGCAGTGGAGCATGATAGAACTCCATCGAGGTCAAAATGCCCATGAATATAAGCTTCTTGAATGTTGGATCACACAAATATCTATTTTTTTCTACCTTTAACGGTCAACACTTTAATCACGTGTTCTGCTGCCTCATCATATTACTCTAAATCAGCTCACACAAAACCCAAAAGCTTTATGCCAGGCCCCAATTCCTAGCTTGCATGAAGAAAATGGAGACAACCCAAAAATTGCAGTAAGATCCAATCATGTCACATCTCACAACTTAATTCATAGGTAGTAAGCGCCTTAGCAAATAATACTAGTCTTGGGCGAAACACTATAATTTCCCTCATACACTGTTCCAATATGAAGTAGATAAAGAAAAGTTTCTGCACTTCCTTACCATGCAGAAAAGTAGCAGCAGATGTCCACTACATTTAACATGTGCTTGAAGTAACAAGCAAGAATGATTACTTAACAAAGGAGAACATCAACATTGGCAGACCAGAGCAAGACAAGTTAATATTTTCCATTCCTGACAATCATCTAATGAAGAGCCTCCCTTGCTTTTCCATCTTTTGTTCATAATGGTGCATAGCAATCCTAGTGAAAATTTTCTCTTCCGTAGGATTACTTTCCCTTGCTTTTGAGGGGTAAAACATAGATATTACACTTCAAAATAAACTGTAACTTTCCCAATTTTAATCTGTAAGGGAACTCTCTTTGACGGAAAGCTTTATCCATGAGGAAGCAAATGAAAACCATTAGATCATAGTGCAAAAACACTCAACTCCTTAAGAATATACAGAACCGTGTGGTCATAGCCCTATATGCCCCATGTGAAACGAGGTGTTGGAGCAAAACATTATGTATTCTCTTTATCCATAGGCAGGCATTATCACTAAACAGGAAGTAACCCACAATTAAAATTATATGAGATGGCCAAATATTATGAAGAAGTGCAAGGCAAGCAACGAACTTCTCTGTCTGAATATTCCCGCAAAAAAACTTTTAAAGCAGCCAAAAATCCTTGTTGTGTGCAGTGAAGAGAAAGTAATTAGAAAATGCAGCAACTTCAGTAAAATGACAGCAACACTTATCACACCCTCAACAATATTGATGATACACAGCTCATTGTTGATATAAACCAAAAAAGGAGTTTGTTAGCCCCATTACCTTATTTTTCATGCAAATCTTGAGTTTTATCTCTATGGGTCAATATGACATATTCGTCTATGAGACAATGTAGTGGTAACGATGACCACTACATTCTCTCAGTAATAAACATGACCTAGCTCAGTTCTTCAACAAACATGCTATGAACAGTTCTCCAATTGTAGCCAAGTTTCCAGAATTGAAATTTTAACTGATGCAGGAGCATCTTAGTCATATAATTGTACGTTGTTCTAACGTAATCATTCAGTAGGGTTTTACTTGAATGCTGCCAAGTACTGTAAATACAATTGTTTAGTAAGTACCCATATGTTACACATGCGCTTCGTTGAGGGTCCTGCATCATTTGCCATTATTATGCAGTCCTAATGTGATTCATCAAGTCGTACAACTTGGTCATCAACGTGGTTATTCTAAAACCTTACATTGGTCATCAATTCCTACTACCTTTTTATTGTCATAGGTAGATTAGTCACTGGCTCTTTCAACATCAAGTTCCGTGCCTATAAATACCTGCTCATACGTTCTATAAGCTTTTAATCTCAGGATGGCTGCAATTTGTTCAAAGGCATAAGGAAAAGAACTTCAAACTGCACTCAATACTTGAAGTTTACAGCACGTATGTGCGCTATTTAAGAGATAGTAAAATAATAAACTTAATGACTAAGTTGAAAGAGTTGATGAGTCACCCTCCAGTTCTATAGGTATTCCTGTTGTCCACTGCAAAAATAACTTTCCTCATTTTATCACCCAGTTCTGTAGGTAGTAGAAGTTGATAAGTAAGAACTAGTAAAATAATAAACTTAATGACTAAGTTGTAGGAGTTGATAAGTTGTCCTCCAGTTCTATAGGTATTCCTATTGTGCACTGCAAAAATAACTTTCCTCATTTTATCACTTAAATATCCAATTCAGTTCTCTTGGGGAGTAATTATACCCAGAAGCTATTCTCCTACAAAACTATTATGCCTTCTCTTCACCAATCTAATATCTGATGTGCACTGTACTTTTACGTTAACTATTGTAAGGATTGCTGCATTTTGATCAAATCTAAGTCTCAATACCATAGACTGGAGGACAACTCAAACTATATAACTATGAAAAATTTCTTCCTCCTACCTTCACATATGTCCCAAGGAGTGTGGTTGCCTTGGGAAATTCCATATAGGCAGCAGCAGAGCAGCTTCTTATTACCAGATTATGGACTGTCCTTGAATAAATGTCTAATAACAAAATTGGTTAACAGGTGGACGTCATCTTGCATTGTTTCCATTTCTATTGCTCCTGGGATAACATAATCCAACCACTCCCCAAGCTTTTTGTGTTATTTATTTTTTTTGGGGGGGGGGGGGGTGGGGGGGTGGGGAACCACCGGTGGTGAAAGAAAGTAGGAAATTCAGAAGACAACGCAATCATGCCATCGGAACTTGTCAAATAACAAGCATAACTGGTTGCAAATTCTCACTTATCTCCACCATGTCCTTTTGCGGGCACAAAGTTTTTTACTTGTAAAACAAATATGCCTCAAACCAGAACCACTTGTCTTTACCAGATACATTGCTTGTAATCAAATTCTTCAATTGTTGTTTTCGGCACTTAATCAAAAACCATAAATCATCCAACATAGTGTAGCTTATATGGAACAAATATGGTACATTTTGTGTAGCACCATATACAAAATGCCACTAACGTTTTACCATTACTAGACTGAAAAGCTGCCAGAACACGCATAGAAAGAACATGTATTAAAAATATTAAAAAAATGAAAAAATTTTGCAGAAAATGCGGAGAAAGATGAAAAGCTAACTATAAGCGCACAGAGATATGATCAATCCAGTTGATGGAGTTTGCTTACAGATACATTAGAAAATAGTATCAAACTCCTGGATTGGCACTGCAGAGCATACCCTGAGACAACGACCTGGAGCCCTTCGAGTCCAAACCAAGGCACGATGTCAGCCGAGCTGAAGATACTGCTGTGTGGAGTGGCAAGAGAGATTGGAGACAGCCCATTTGAGCTAACGGCCTGAAAATTCCCAAAAACTAAAGATTTAAAAAATTGAATCTTGATAGAGACAATCTTGAACCAAATAGCAAGTTTCATCCAGAGTAACAATTCAAAATCAAATCTTTGAAAATAAATAAGAACAACCACAGAAGAAAAATGGCTCAAATTCACATTAGACGGTCAAAAATCAAATCTTTATGGAAGATTTGGAAAAACCCATTTGAGAAAAATCATATTTTGAGGAAAGAAATGAATAGAAATAAGAGGGCTTTGTCTGTTTAGGGTTGAAGGGGATTGCCTTGAGAGTGTTGTTGTCGTGGGAGAAGAGCGTATAGGGATGCCAAATACTGAAGATGAAGGTGAAGTGGGTCTCCTGATTGATGAGGGCTGTGTCATGGTGGATTTGAAAAGGGAAAATGCTGGTCTTGAAAGGGTGCGACAGCGAGTTGCCATTGGAGAGGAAGCGATCAGTTTTTTAGCCGGGCACTTATGGGTTTAGGGTTTAGGGGTATTTGAAGCAGCAGAGTGAAACTGTGAGAGATTAGAATTAGGATTTGGGATTTTCACTGTTTTTTTCCAGTAAAAACACAAAAAAAAAGGTGTGGTTAAAAAAAAAAGAAAAGAAAAAAGTTGATTTCTCAAGAATATGACTTTGCTTTGGTTAAATAACCTTTTTCTCCTCAAATTTATTTCATCCTATTGACAACTTGATGAATCTATTTTAAATGCGAGACTATAATGACAGTATAGATCTCAGTAAATGTTACAAATGTTATAATCTTTCCTTTATCTGAAATGTATGCAGTCATTCATTAGGAGTAGGAATTTTTTTTTTGGTCCTCAAGTAGAAAAGTGTTAAAAGGAACCTAGCTGCATATTTGGAAGAAGTGAAGCTACTGCTGCCTTGCTCCTTTCCTGGTGGCAATTCAGTCGATTAAATGAGATTCTTACAGCCAATTTTCATCAACTCTATATCTTCCCTGTAACGTTGCAGAAGCAAAAGAATCTCCCTCCAAGAAATTGATAGTTCAGCACAGATGTACAACTGAGCTAACCAAGTATTTGGTTTAGCTGAGATCATTATCAAAAAGGGATATGTACTCTCCAATTACACAACGATTAGCAGGACGAAGGAAACAGAGCAAAAGAGCCTTGTGCGGATTTGGCATATTGGTATCAATAACAAAGGCAAATAAAACAGCATATCAAGAATAAGAATCTGTATCTAATTTTGCTTAATAAAACATAGATACAATGTTAAGAAGAATGCTATGTTGGAGTTCTATCTTGTAAACAATGCACACATCCAAAAACTCGAAAGCAAGGACACTTGTGCAAAGGCCGTCCTTTCCCAAGATCTGCAATGAAGAACTCTATCGGTCAAGAACTCCAGCTGCTTTAGTAAGCTGTCACTCGAAAAGTTATCATCATCATAGGAGGCGTAGTTTCCCAGTAACTGAATCTACAGTTGATCTACTTCCTGCAAAACAATAACAAGTAATTGACAAGACTAGACACGGATTTTCACAAATAAAGCTTGCAGGAATTCAAGGTATAATTGAACAGAAGCAAACCAGGCCCAATGGCAAGTACAGTCTTCGACCCAGAAGAGACCTGCATAAAGAAATAGGTCTGAGCATTGTATATGTTTCCAAAGAGTCTATTACTTGTAAGGAGAGCAAATAGTATGGTCCTGAATGCATTACTTTGAGTCCTAATTCAAGGCTAGACTAGTTCTGCACTCTATTAATCGGACTCTTTGTTTTGCCCTACCATACCCATGCTTAACTCTTCATTTTGCAATATAGTAGCCATGTCGGGTGGGACTCCATAACTCCAAAATTACTTTGACTCTTCGTTTACACAGAACTGAAGCTATCTGTTGCAGCTTATGACCAAATCTTGTACCGTGTTGCTTTATTCTTTACGTAGTGATTAATTCTTAGCAAATAGAGTTCATAATATGAGGTTTCATTCTCTGCTTTTTTAGCTAGAATGACTCACATCAAACAATATGCTTGTGTTCTATGTGGGCCTATAACTTCCCTCATCCCCACATAATATCTGAAAATACAAAATAAAAAAAGCAGCTTTTATAATTCAGAACCCGAAATAAAATTCACTGTGCAATTTGTATACACATTAGTTTCTACGTTGTTACTCCTTGTACATTGTGAGTTTCAAGAGATGAGTAAAGGATATGCAAGACAGCAAGCATTACCAGAATGATAGCAATAAAGAACAACGGCTAATCACGGTATTGAAAAGCATATATCAATTCATCCTAATCATCATCTCCTTAGTTGGTTAGTTCAACAGTTTGCACTTTAGGTTGTCCATTGCACTATATTTCCAGCTGGATACAAACAAATATTTCAATAAGTCGAAGTGGATACCTGGGTCCGTCCTGCATCAGCCACAACAAAAGTTGGAAGACCAATGGACTCAGCTGCTTCCTTCAGCTTATTCCTGATAAAAACCCAAAAATTACCGAAGCAATAACTATTGTGCCAGCAAAGATGTTCCTTGAATACATCTAAGTGAAGAAAAAGAACAAGTTCAGATCACCTGCTTACATTTCTTGCAGATTCTTGCAGGTAACAACTATTTTGGCTTGACCACAGAGTTCCCATTGTCTCAACAGAGACCGGTGGCTGCTTTCAATACTCATGTAGTCAACAGAAATGCAGTATATGTAAATTTCATGGGATAATCTGATGAATTATATAACATCTTGCCATAATCCAAAACTCTTCTGGCAAAGTGACAACATTCTCTAATACCTATTCAATGCATTAAATGTGGATTGGATGTTCCTTTATGCCAGCACAGATAAGAAACATAATAACACTTTTGTGAACAAACGTAGGTGAGCATGTTAATATGCATGTACAAAGAGATTGTCTAGGTGCTATATTAATAAGTTATTTCAGGAAATATCTGTAATAAAAGGAAAACCTTTTAATCTTTGATAAAACATACAAAATTGCAGCAAATTGGACACTTTAAAATGGTGATTATAAACATACCTTTGAACGAGTTCTGAGTAAATGCCAGTTGCAGCATCTGCAGGTACATCAATCAATGAAATGAGCAATGAAGCAATAGCAATAAAATAGCAAAATGGAAAGAGGAAACCCTGAAAACGTATCAAACCAAGAATACTAAAATCTTACGAGCACATTGAGATGCAATTTTTCCTTGCCCCATCTTCAGGTCTTGTCTAACTACCAAAACCTGCAAATCAACATGCCCATTTTCAAACTAAGATGGCCTACAAAAAATATTCAGATTGCCTCTGTAACAAAGATGAATCAATACCTCACCATCTCTATTTTATGAGATTATGTAGTTTGCAGCAACCCACAACCAAGACAAACCTTTCCTAAATGACTAAACCCCATTTGCTCAATAACTAAAGAAGGGCAGTTGAAAAGGAATCCATCAAACAGGAAGACTCTATTGAATAGCCATCCCATAAAAGAATGGTACACTTCTATATTGTAGAAAGTTCCAATCCAATAAAGGAGACGTAATCCCTCAAAATACTCATTGTCAGCAAATAACAATCGAATTTAGCAGAGAGTAATAGAGACTCAGATATAGACAAAATCAAACATAAGCTTATATCCAAAAGCATTCAAATTAAGCATATTTCTACATGGTATAACAGTCAATAGCAACTCAATAGATGACAAAATAGTGATTACAACCAGTGGTCTATTTGCATGTTCCACAACCAAAAATTTTCTCAATGGAATACTGCACAATTCTCTCAAACCAAGGTTCTACACTACTGCCTCTCCTTCCAATTTGTTTATATGACTAGCATGTATTAGTATCCACTGCTATTCAGTTTCAAGATTACATGAGGGATTAAAGCAACCAACAAGAACTGCATCACAGTTTCCATAGGATACCTTCATCCTAAAAGCCAAAAGAAGCTAAAAATTTACTAGTAACTCGGTATTTCAAATGAAACAATAAAAATCAGAAAGTACCAAAATGCTATCAACTTTTTAAAATAGGACAAAGCATGCAATAAAAAGGACTTAAAAAATGCAGTGAAAAGTCACCATTTTTAGCTCTTCATCAGCAGCATCAGCTAATGATGTCAATCTTTGATTTTTGCTGGGTAACAAATTTCTCCTTTTAGTAGCACTAGTAGAAGCTTTATTGGGCTTGGACAAATCCAAGAACAACCCAAAAATAAAGCCAATTATCAACCCTGGAATGAAGTTTTCTGGCTTGAAACTTACTCCCAACCATTCTTTCTTCTCTTCTTTCTGCTGAATTATCATTAAAACATCAGAAAAGCTTAGTAATTAAATGAATAAAAAAAACAACCAAGAAACAAAATAATGACATGGGATTTTTTTTGCTTTTTCTGTTTTCTTTCTTGAATGTAATATGACCTTTTTTGATGGCTGGGAAGTGTTTCTATAAGAACCCAGCATTGGGTTTTTAGCTGTTGCAAACTTTCTGTTCTGATACGGTGGGCGACAGAAAAGAGATGGTTGGCTGCATTTATATTTGCAGAGCGAAGCAAGGTACGACGTCGTTATAATTGGAGTATTGACTGCATTTGATCTTTCACCCTCACGGGCCTTCAAACGTTTTAGGTGGAAATGTCAAGACAAGAACAAAGTCAATGGAATTAAGACGGGCAGCCCAATCCAGCAGCTCAACAGCCCACCGAGCAAGGTCCAAAAGACTATTTTACAAACCTCCCTAGAGATTTTTGACAATTTCAAACAGTACCCCTCAAGTTTTAATAATTACACGTACCTCGCGTATATAAAAGAAGATACTGACCATCCCCACATCACAATTAAAGTCTAAACTGAAAAATTTTTCCAAAAAGAAATATTGAAAAAAAAGAACTCAAAGTTAGATTTTAATTCGTCTTTAATTAATTCCTACAAACCAACGACCCCCCAATAATGGACATTCTAAATGTCAATTTCATTTTTATTTGCTAGATGTCAAATTTATTGGAACAACTATTTTGGTAGCTGGTCTCAATAATACGTAGCCAATAAATACAACTATGTATATGTGGATTGAATCCTTATTGGGAGAGGGTTTGGATTTGAACTTCAGAGTTTGACCAGTGAATGAGTTTTGGGCATTAAGCGGTGCCCTATTGCTTGTAGATTGAAAAAATAAATAAATTTTGAGAGGGTTGGGAAACTTGACCAGATAACAACATTTGGCCAATGCTGGGAGATTGGAAATTTTTTGTATACTAGTAGACTTATATATTTTTAAACAATATATAATGATCAATTTGTGTACAATATATTTGAGATAAATTTCATAAGGGCAATGACTTGAAACTTTGTTAGAGTGGTAAAAAGTTTAGAGTGGTAAGATAATATAAATTTCAAGAGATTCCAAATTTAAGGGTTTGCAGATCCAAGAAATTACAATAGACCTTACAAAAAATTTCCTCATGCGCCAGAAAATGTTTCCACTTTTTCTCTTTTTTTTTTAAAAAAAAAAAAAAAAAAATTCAAGCAAAA